TTATTTAATGACAAAATTCTGATAAACAGCAATTTTACAAAGAGGTAAAATGTGTATACATTTTTTTGGGACACCCTGTATTTGGCTGAATGAAGGTGTAGCGACCATGTGTTCTAAGCCATGCTTTGCTCACACGCGTCTGGGGCATGTCAGCGTGGCCACCAGCCCGTGCGCGCCAGACAGGGTCAATCGTCCGATTAAGGTCACGGTCTTGTCTGGACAAGTGACCAACCACTTCCCAAGGCCAAGTCACAAAAGGACCTTAAGGTGATGACCGCTTATTCTTAGACATTCCCGGAGCCGGCGACCTACTGCTGGTTGCAGACCTCCAGACCCGGCGACTACACCGACCGGAATGCGAATCTGGACTCCGGCCCGCTCCTGGCTGGTGTGCACTCCTTTGGGAGTCAATTATCCATTACTTATATTCCACTCATTCTACACGTAATTAAACTATTAATGACACTCTGGCCGCGCGGCGCTGCATGCCAGTTGCACAAGATTTATTGCTCCGATAAATTGATATCAGGGTTCCTGCACTCAACTAAACCGGATTGAACCCACAGTCTGCCATTTCATAGATTTCTGCTAAGTTGTCTGCTAAGTAGTGGGTTCATTTTCTCTGAGCGTCATTACCAAAGTTGCCTTTTAATCAGGATTTTATAAGTAATGAATAAGGTTAAGGGACTGAGAAGCATAATACCACTGTCCGTTTAGAAATCTGCTGTAGCTAAATTGAATATAAGGTTTCTCAATTTCAGTATCCCGAACGTATGTGATCAGTTGCTCAAGGCGCCGTTTCGAACAACTGGCGAGAGTGGTAGGCTCTATTGGTTTCGCGGTTGCGTCGCTGAAATTGGTGATTTGCGTCAAGTTGCGATAGCATCCGGCATAATGACCGATACAGAAGACACCTCAAGCATGGAAAAAAGCGAAGTCTCGCTTGCTACTGATCGCCTTGTTTCGGTTTGCATAGTTACAATCATATTATTACCCTCACAGACTCTCGTGCCCAGCGTCGCAAAGGTCGTGAAACTGTCTCACGAGTTTCCATCGTCAGCCACCCCTGCATTCACTTACTACAATGACTTTCCTCAGTATAAGGCTGTGATGAATGGAAATGCCAACAAAATTTTGTCTTTGTTAGTTAGAAGTTCTTAACTTATGTTTTCCAGAATTCAAAACATCATGGATGAAGTCCATGGTGAAGGCAATATTTTAGATACCCCGCAAGTGAAATCGTTCGAAGAAAAATTCGCAACAATAGTGGATGTTAATGATCGCATCCTTGATCATGTTGTACGTTCTGCCGTTTAATAACACTTCAGACCTTGGAAATGGATCACATTGAATTCCCGGAACGGAGTGCTAATAACGCGCAGGAGTTGGTGGTCGCAACCCAAAAAAGGTTCTCAACGTCCCAGCCAGTCGTTTCCGAAGTACGTAAACTTCACAGATATTTCACATATAGGTTAAAAAATCTGAAAAGGACGCCAGCGTAAGAAACGCGGGAGGAATGCCGGGCTCTGTTAAATTACTTACGGCGAAGAACGTTTCGCGGCCTCAAGTTCTTTTTTCCCGTCAGCCGAATAACACAGCCACTCCATTTCGTCCGCTTCTTAAGAAAAAACCGAATGCAATTGTTCCTCTTGAGAGTAAGCTTGTTATTAGTTTTATTGGCAAAATTGTTTGCAAATGAATGTGCTCTTGTTTCGGAAGATATTAGGTTCATCAATCGAGCACTATTATTTTATTCTACTTCACCATTTAGTAAACTAAAAATATTTCTGTGCTTGACCTGCTGAGGATCATAGACGTACTGAATGAAGTATTATTCGTCCAAAATTGTTTAGTTACCTGGCACTGCCTTCTTCGTAAGACTAATTGAAAAAAGAAAGTCTTGTTCGGTTAATGTACGACTTTGTTAGTGTTGGTAGGTAGTCAGGTTGGAGATGGCAACAGTGGCATCAGCATCGGCAATATTTTACTCAGATTATTTCAGATCATCTTCCCAACGAGGTGGACCGGTATTAAATTGAGCTCACCGAACTACTGGGTATATTTTTTCTTGTTCTTTATTCCCAGAGTTATCAGAGTCTCAGTGTGTGTGTGTGACTAGCGGATCTTCATAATTCGTCTGAGCCCATTGCTGTATGACCCATTTTTACCATCGTGCTTCAATAATCTAAAGCCCGTGGTTTCCCTTATGCTAGGTTCTTCATACATTTCACGGGTATGTATATTTACGTTGATGTGGTACTACTATCCTGAGTGCTTTTTGACCTGTACAAAGATACTGGCTCGCGTATTTTTAGAAAATTCTTCAGTCGATTTGGCTGAGCGCCGAGCTGTGCACTGATTACTTATAGCTTCTTCATGTTTGTGAATCTTGAATTTCGAACACGTTTGTGTGTCCTCCGTGGATATAGCTCCGTAATACATCACTTCACTAATTCAGTCATCGTCGTCTGTTGTGGCATTCCACATTGATGTTCTGGATATATGGTCATTGTTTCGTCCGTTCGGGCAGTATCCCTTTCAGCAGACCGAATAAGTTTACTAGAATTAAGCTTGTGGTAAAATAGGTTATTGGGGCGCAGTGACGACCGATCTCGCAAGTCGCATACTTTTTTCCCTCTCGGACCATGACAGAAGTTAAAATTTCCTTTAAAAAATGCAGTATCGTGTTCCATTCCGTAGGATCCATTCGTTCCTTTCCACAACGGTTTGCACTGCAGGTGCGCCGAACTAAAACATAGTTTATACCGGCTTACGGTACACGTTAATCTGGCTGAAACTACAGTTTCATCTTCCTGGCAAGATAGAGAGGGACGAGGGAGAAATGATACTCCTATAAGTAGACATTCACTTCGCGTCAACTACTGCCTCCAAAACAGCTACTAGTTAGTTTTTAGGCTTGAACAATGGACTGTTGCGTGGGCGAGGGAGGAGAGTGATGTAGATTCAGCGGAGTATGCCTCGCTTTAGCTTAATTCTCGCACAGGTCGCCGGTGATGTGCTCACCCCACGGAACGCGGTGGATATCGCTCGCGACGGTCGGTCTACTGACAATCTTCTGTACACCCGTTCCGTACCAATTAAAACTACTTTTTCGTTTGTCACCTCACCTGCTTTAGTTATATTCCAAAATAATATTGTTTTTTCCTTACTTCCGTAATATTATGGTTTTAAGTAATCGAGTGGTAGTCGCATTGCCTTTGATCTCAACCCTACAAAGATTGCAGTTTTTGTCGATCAAGTTAGTCAGTTAGCCATGAAACTCGTTTCCACTCCAAACTTGAAACGCATATCGTTGTTTGTCCACTTGCGTTATTGGGAATTAACAGTTTGTTTTTCTCGTCGCGGTGTTTAGTCTTATAACTACGTTCTTGGTGTATTTCTTCTGTTGAAATTCGAGTCATTGGCTCAGCTGATTTCGGCTTTGATAGAGCCACTTTACTTGTCGGCAAGGTATCTTGTCCTTCATTTTGGTCGTTTCGAGAATCTGTCCAACTTCTCCCTTTGCACCTCTGCCTGCAGGTTCAATTAACACAGACAATCCAGAATCAGAGGACTACCCTCATCCATATCTCCAAGAACTGGAGGCCTTCGCAAATGAAATCGCCAAGTTGACTTATGCGCCAGCGTCAAATCCTGTT